TCAACTGCAGCCGAACACGTCAGAGCTGGAACACACTCAAGTGACAACTTCGAGCTCAAAAAGAAGCTCATGACAAGGTTCAAAAGGTCATTCGGCTTGATGTGAGCCAAGACAGATAAAAGACTCTCTTCCAATTAGCCTCAACGAACACTGATCCTTCCTACTCGCACACAAAAACGCACATACTATTACTACTTGCAATCGTAGCAGTAGTATTTACGAGAGTGATAGAATTACAGCCTGAGCAGATGGGGGATGGAGGCCTATGAAGGAAGGTTGAGTAAAAGTCGAATGACGTCATGTCCGGATGGAACAAATATGCCCAAAGTATATTCATAAAAAGGCTTGCAGACTCGAAGGAATATCCGTCATGTGACGAAGAGTACAGGAATCATGATGACGGCGAAATGTGTGATCGACGGGAGGATGTGACTGAATAATATCATTGTCCTTCAAGGTCGTTTGAGGCGATTGAGAGACAATGAGATGAGCATGCTCAGCAACGAGAATGAATTAGCGACGCTCTTGCCTCATCCCGTCTCGACTGAACTGCAGGTTCCTCAACGCCCGACCACGACCGGATCTTGAGCCTCGTGGCGATACGTTGGCGTTCTGTCAAACAGCCACAAGCGTCGAAAGAGTCTCGAACCCAGTTTGGTTTGCTGATGACCCTCGGACGAGGCAATAACTGTAGCCAAGTTTGGCAGGAATGAAAACGTCTGTTGGGAGGTAATAATGCATGACAGAGCTTACTTCAACTCGACGTGGATTGCGAAGCAACAGTTGGCTTGAACGAATGTGGGAATCGGTCTTGCCGGGAACCGAAAGAGAAACTGGCCGCTATGGCGCGGAGACTGTTGGATTGTGCAAACATGGCATACACACAATAAGCATAAGCAAACATGCGTCAACACGGAAGAATCGTGGGCGTCCATTTCCTTTTCACACATTTACTTCACCCAACTGCAAGCATGCAAGGTTGGCATGACAAGGCCAACCAAATTATCATCTGAAAAGAAATAGCCCTCGAAATGCCTACTTATGGAATCATAAATAAGTAATATAAGATGTATTCACGAAAATAATATTTAATTAGAAAAATAAATACGTAATCTAGTCCAGTCCAGTCCGGTCGGAATGAGAAAGTGTGAAAGTGACTCGAATCATACGAACTTTCTTCAGCTTAAACGAAATTGGGTGAATACAACTCTTGCATCAAAGCATGCGAAGATCACAAAATGAGGAATCAGAAATGAAAAGATTGGGTTCGAACGAGACCAATTCACCAGCTCTTTCTGTCAAATGAGAAGCCGAGTCGAACCGACGCATCAAGGCTGGCTTTCATTTCAGTGTACGTGGCGAAGAGTGCCAGCCTCCGACGACGAGGCTAGGCAACAGGTTCACTCTGTTAAGTCAGAAGGCACATGTGAGAGAGAGGCTGTAAGGCACCCGGCGCCCTGGGAACCCCATTTTCAGCTCCTCCGTCCAATAAACAACACGACCCACTTCGCATCCCCACCAGCAACCACTCTTCTCCTCTTCCATTACCCCATAAATAGCCGCACACAAATACACGTCTGTCCTGAATACACACACACACACACACACACACATACAAACATACACAAATGTATTCTCCTGGTAGTGACTATTGCAGACTGGCAGCGCCCGGAGGAGGTCAGCACACATGCAGGCCCATACGAAGCGGCAGATGCGCAGCTATTCTCTCTTCTGACCCACTCGAGTGGCCACTCTCGCCGCACATTCTCTCCTTCATTCGAGTCCCGGTCAGGAGAGCCAAGTGTTCGAGTTCACGATCCTCCCTTTGCTGGAGCACTGGGGGCTGGACAAAGCGTGGACAACTGCACTAAACACATTTCAGCATACAAGTTGGTCTGTTGGTTTGTCATTGAAAAGTGCCAGCATGTGTGTACGTGTGCATGTGTTTGCATGAAGGTGTGTTTTCCTGATTGTGTGACGAGGAGAAGGAGGGCAGCGAGCGGAAAAGTGTGCCAGTTGCGCATTGAAGAGGTGTTGAAGAGGCGTTTCGTGGAGTGAAAGAGCAGCCGATTGCCTCTTCCGTCTGTCCATCATCGTCGAGTGGAGAAGCCGGATCACATGCGGCCAAGTGGCCCATGCAGGCGGACGACAGGATTGAAGAGACAGACGCCAGTGAGAGAGAGAGAGAGGCACTGGTACATCCGCGACGAAGGTCTGAGGAGGGCCGAGTGGGACCGAGGAGACGAGAGCGGCGGAAGATGCCACTTCTCGATCGGATCGTGTCAACTCGAACGTGGCAGCTCTTTTGGCCACACAAAACTGGCCAGTCGCGAATGGCGCAATCGCGAAGATGCGTTCTGTGAAGAGAGAAGCAAAGCGGATCCTGTCCGTTGCCGCAAAGAAGTCGGACATGCGGAGGGTGCAGAGCAGAGCGAAGAGCATCAAAGTCACGAAGTGAAGAGAAAGATGCGTCACTTTGAAGAAAGGTTTGTCTCGAAGGTGCTAATCAGCTGACTTACATTTCGAGTGAAAGTGTGCTTGATGAAGCGATTCGAGGCCGGATCCAGCCAGACGACGACGGACAGCACATTCCTCTTGACCAGCGGTTGATGCATTTTGCCGGAACATTCGAAAGAGATTGCCTCAAAACCGGCGTCAACAAGAATGCTCCATTTAAAGTTAATCAACCGCTGGTCAAGACGAGAGTGCTGTCGCCTCGTGGTGGGATTCCCTCGCGAATCTCTTCGTCAAACACACTTTCACTCGAAATGAAAGTCAGCTCAAAAGTCGTCCACCGAGACATTCCTGAAAGGCAAACTTTCCTCCGGACATTCTGGAAGGAATTAAGTATTGTTTTCGTGACTGTCAGTATATCAGTAGTATGACGTGTATTCACCCAATTTCGATTAAGGTGATAAAGAACTGGTAGAAGAAGAATTTTCCCACAATCATATGAATTGAGCTGACGCTTCCATCAAATTTCTACTGCCAGTCCTTCATCACCTTAAACGAAATAGGGTAAATACATTTCATATTTCTATTTTTGTCACCGTCATCTTTTATTGTATATTATATATTTTTCGAATTAAGTATTATTTTTGTGACTAACAGTAAATCAGTAGTATTACATGTATTCCCCCGATTTCGATTAAGGTGACAAAGAACTGGTAGAAGAAGAATTTTCCCACAATCATATAAATTGAGCTGACGTTTCCATTCAATTTCTACTGCCAGTCCTTCATCACCTTAAACGAAATAGGGTAAATACATTTCATATTTCTATTTTTCTCACCGTCATCTTTGACTGTACATAATCTATTTTTCTAATCAAGTATTGTTTTCGTGTCTACCAGTATATCAGTAGTATGAGATGTATTCACTTAATTTCGTTTAAGGAGATGAAGGATTGGTAGTG